TCCAGAGTTGATAAGTTCGACTTCCTATGCGTTCGAATTAAACTCCCTACTTAATCGACAAAACTAAACTCTCATCTTGAAAAGAAGCATACGATCTAGTTTTTGAGAAGAAAAAAATTATGTGGACAACGGGCTTGGTATTTACTTTTTTGTACTACCAATCTGATACATAAACTACCATTGTACTCTAGTGAGCCAAATTGCTAACGTCAAGAGGTTAAAAACCAAGATTTAGATAGAAGCAATGATCTAAACAACCGAATTAGTAATATTTAGACGAAACAAAACGTAGTGATGCTTAAAGGGGACCTCAAAAGTTAGAGATTTTTTTAGCCTTAAACTTTTTTGTTCTTAATCTTCTTCTTTACCTTATTTTAATTTTCTAATATCAAGCACAATAGTTCCCTAATGTCTCATTTTGCAAATTTGTGACATATAGAGCATAAATAGGAGAGACTCAACTATCTAAGCAAATCACTACGTACATCTTACATGAAATCTCTGATATTAAATGGAGCAAGATTTGAAGACTTGGGTATGGCCATTATTTATTGTATTAGTTACATTTAAGTGTACAAGCCACCAAAAATTTGCAGAAAAAAGAGACCTCATATTGTTACATGTACTATTCCTACACTTACAAAAGATCCACATAAAGGACTAGACGGAGAACATGACAACTAATGTTTAGTATATTGAACTTGAGAATTAAATGGGATGATTTAGCTCAACAAAGATTGACAATCTAATAATAAAATACTAGATATAACTATAAAAGAAGAAGGTTAAAATCTTATACTCGATAGTCATGTAGAGTATTGTGTATCTAACCAAACATTCCCAAAGTTTTCTTCTGCATGGACCCAAAAAAAAAATAATATCTTGGTTTAGAAATAGAACTATATATGCAACTTCTTAGATATATATATTTGCCATCAAGAAGAGAGAAGATACAATTTCACTTCATGATACAGCCAGAAAGGAAAAGGTGGTTGGCTTTCCCTTGCCACGTAGAAAACCCTCAAACAGATTTGCCCTGTTTGAACCACATTTTTGTAGAATGAGAATGAAAAATATAGTCGTTATTGGGGCCCACACAAGAGATAGAAAATTTGAATTTAAATATTGATGTGATAAATAACGATCATATTTTTCATTTTAATAAAAAAAAAGGTGGCCCAAACAAGGGCTTACAAGCTATCACCTATGACCACTCAGCTACCCTCCTCTTCCCAGGCCAAGGCCCCTATCATGTAACTCGCTTGACATTGCTTGTTTGGCAAAGATTTTTGTTTGCTAAAAAAATGGTCAAATCTTGTCAAACTTTATTTTTAACTTGACCACAACTTTTATCAACTATTTCACCACATTTCATACAAACTGCCAACTTTTAGCAACATTACGCTACCCCTAAAAGCATATTGTCAATATATCAATTCAGGCATACATAAAATCTAAGCAAGATCAATCCTTGGGAATACAAAAAATCACAGGGTCTTCTATCTCGAAACATACTTGTTAGAGGAAATGAAAAATTATGAAGGGTATAAATCGCTCAAGCAGAATATTTACCATTACACAACTATAGTCTCCATATTCTCTCAAATAGAGATTAGAAGCATCCATATGAAGACGATCAGCCAGTTTAGTAGGTGCAACAAATGTTCTCGCTAAGTGCTGGACCCACTAGTTTCTCTAAACACATGGCTACCAATTTATAAATCAAAATCATATTCAATCAAAGTTAAACATTCAATTACATATTTAAATGCCCATTATTTTGTATGGAAAACAATGTTTTCGACAATATAGTCAGCCCTTGAAGAGTGATACGTAGTCCTATCGCTTGAATGGTAAATTGTACTTTAAGGCAGTATTTTTTTCGCAATCTACCATCAAATGCATTTAGGTTCCGTTTGATTGGCGAAGTTTTTCAGGGAAGTAGGAAAATATTTTCCTACTTTTACTTTTTTGACTGTTTGATATGCGAAATTTTCCACGGAAAATGTTTTCCTCCCTTTTTCTAGGTACAACCATTTGATGTACAAATGGTGGAAAATGTTTTTTTACCTAATAGGTGGGAAAACATTTTCCACCTTTTTTTTTTTGTTTTTTACAATGAGAATAAATTCTAGACACAATGGTAAAAAAAAATTCACTTTTATGGATAATTTTCATGCAAAACAAAGTCAAACGAATGATAATCGATATGGTAAATTTTTTTTTTTCAAAATTTTTTTTTAACAATGTGAACAAATTTAGACTCAATAGTAGAAAAAATTATCATTTTAATGGACAAATTCCATAAAATACGAAGTCAAATGGACACCAAATTTTCAACATTTTCCATGGAAAATTATACAAATCAAACACAATTAATTACAATTCCCAATAAAACATTTTCTAAGAAAATCAATTCCCTGTAAAACATTTTCTTTCCACCCATTTTCCACCCTTACAATCAAACGGACCCTTTATACAAGGGAAAAATTCACTTTCCCTACATTATCTTTACCCTATTTCAAAAATAACAAAACAACTTTTACATTTCAAAAATCAGATTTTTT